AATCACCTTAAGTTTTGACCCCCAAAAACACGCCTCCAGGGCCTCCAAGGGAAAAGGTCGGCGGACCGGGCCGCGCCCCTATAAGCATAGCTTAGCTAGGCGTGCATCCGCACTGGACCATGACGGCCAGGCCGGATTTGCGCGTTGCGCCGCAAGCGCCGAAAGCTCTAAGTTGGGGTCCTGATTTGTTGGTGCTTCGAAGGTAAGGTGACGTGATTCCCTCGCTTCCACCGCAAAAGCCGTAAGCGTTGGTCCAGAAAAGCAGAAAACGTAGGCCAAGCCCCGGGTTTCATTAACTACCGTAAGCAAATTTCTTACCCGTAAAGAATCCAGTTAAAGGTTTTGCCCACCGCTCTATTGATTCTATTGGCTTCCGCATGCGAGACAGGAGGAGTTCGACGGCAAAGAGTTCCCCTACGACAAACAAGCCTCTCAGAGGCGTTTAGTGAAAACATAACGCCGCTGGGGAGCCCTGATGTGGTGAAGATTTTCCAGGGACCAAGTTGGAGTGTGCTAAGTAGCCTCCTGTACGAGAACAGCTTGAGCTTGCATGAAGCGACTGCCGCTCCATCCGTACGGTGAATTTCCAGGCCTTGAAGATTCTCCTGACTTCGGCGACCTACATGGCTGATGCCGTCCAACTGGTGCCATGCAAGGACGCCAACTTTACAGATGCTGGCCCTGCCCAGTTTGACAAGTCTGATTGGACTTACCTGTGGAATGATCTTACGGCATTTGTCGAGTCTTCTGGGCCCCTTCGAAAGAGCCGCGCGCAGTTTGTTGTCCACATTGCTCGCGATGCCACCCCGTATTTGAGCGGCACCATCTTTCCTGAAATCATGATTGTGGTTCTTGGATATACTGTCGCTTGACCTGATGATGATGACCCTTCTCGTACTTTGTCGCGTGTTCGAGTTTCGTGCCAAGGTCAATGGCCCGAGCTTGATGATAGTGTGTGTTGATTGATGCGACAAATTTCGTAAAGAGACGTAGCAAGCAAGTAACTTAATATGGACAACCTGCGCGGTTGCAGCCATTCGAGCCTGGGGGGTGGTGATAGAAATGACCCGGCGTGGTGTAAGGATCTTGCAGCACTTGCTGCGACATGCTTCAGGATGCCTTTGATCCATTTTTTTGTAGCTTTAGCTACTTCGAGGTCTTCCTGTTCCCGGTCAATCCGGGCTTTGCCATGCCGCGCGTGTCATCAGTGACTCAGCATGAAATTGCCAAACTCTGTCAGAGTCAAAGCACAAAAATAAGACTCATCCAAGGCTATGATTGCCTTTCTCTCGATTTTAACAATCAGCACTCGGACTTCGGCGATGTTGCCAGAGGTTCGTCGTGGCAGCTTGCCACGAACCAGTGAACGAAAGCGCAAGCCTGTGCAACGTCATCCAGGGCTCTGCCATGTGAAGAGTAGTTAGAACCAATGCCAATCAGAGTCCCGGCAGCTCATCTGTGGTATGAAGTGAACCGCTTGAGCCTACTGGGGCGCTTAATGGATAGAACCGGTTCGGACCTGACCACAAGCAGCGAGCGTCCGCTCTGCCCGCTGCCCGCCTTGTTGGGATGCAGCTGTGCGTGCAAGATTGTACAAGCAACGGCCAGGCATTGTTTGGATGGAGCTCTTCGAGATTGTTTGCAAGATGCTCTTGTTCACAACGATTTTGCTCAACATCCTGACGGAAAGAGTTTTCCATACCTGGCGTCTTGCTCAAAAAGCATTGGCCCTTTTTGAGTAAGAGAGATGCGAAGCCCACGCAAGGCAACAACCCGAGCTAGCTAACCGTCTCGTTTATGAGCTCAGAGCCGCGGCCTAAGCAACTGCTTGCTGATTCCGCTGGAGCGAAGCTCGTGAAGCAGCCAGGTGGGTTTCCCCATCATCGCGTTCCTTGCGTTGGCATCATGCTGGCTCGCAACAGGGCAGCATCTGCAACTTTTTGCTGCTGTTCAGCGGGTGGCTCTGCTCATGGCGGTGCCGCTTCGCAGCATTCGGCATTCAACATGAATGTTCCTAGCGGATCAGACGCAGTGACTTCTATTTGAAGTGGTGCCAGGATGACGTTCATTGTGTCTGTGGTGCTCCGAGACAAAGGGCATCCAGTGGAGAAGTGATCGGAAGTGATTCGAAGTGGTGGTGCAGGCAGGCTGTCGTCACATAGAAAAACAACTCGATTGGACTCCAAGTCCAGCCTTTCAGCATCTCAGCGAGTGGAAGTCAGGAGCATTTAGGGGGACGAGTGCGGAAGGATAGGGCATTTGAAGCTTGACTTGCGGGCAGCTGCGAGATGCTTCGGTACGTCTGACATAAGATCGATACGTACAAATCAAGGCACGCACTTGCAAGCAACTGTCCATGCATCCGCACAACAAGCAGAACAAATCTTGTCGCTTCTTGAGCATTGCATGGCTTGAACATGAGTGGTCATGTGCGATGATTCTGAGAGCACCTCGTCGTCCGAGGCAAGGATGATGACAGAATGTCAGACTGCAAAGTCCATGTCATGCCTGCAGGTTTCCGTGAAGCGCCGGCGCAGGCTGCCACTGCCTTCATGTGCACGGCGCCTGTTGAACAACAACTTTGCCAAACAGCAATAGCCAAGCATGTGGGTTGCTTGCAAATCTTTAGCATCTAGGTGGTGGAGCTCTTCAGCGAGACTGGCAAGGCCCACGGCCGACACCTTGGAGACCAGCAGGGGTTGAGAAGTTGAGACTGACATTGCTGGATGCTGTGCTTTTTGCCGGCAACCTCTGCATTGACGAGCTCATGGGCTGCTCCTGTAGTTTGGCTCAAACCCCCAACAGTGGCGTCGGCTGAAGTCTCGCCACCGACTATGGCTGACTCGCAAGCAGTAGCTCGGTGTCGCTTTCAGAAGTGTTGAAGGCCCCTCTTGCAATCTTGATTACGGTGAAGCTGTCACAGGTCTTGGAAGGCACGGGGACATGCTCCCAGTTCAACTCCATGAAGGCCCGCTTGAATTTCCCGACGGAAGCAAGTGTGCATCGCTAGTGTTCGGTTCCATGTAATAGCAGCCCACCCTCGATGTGTTCTGATGTCTAAGGGGTTTGGTTTCATTGACATGGCGGGGGTCACGGTCTTCGTCCACCATCAAGACTGTGAACAAGGGAAGGAGCCAAAAGCCGGTGACATTTTGACCTTCAACTACGAGCCAAGGAGGGCCTTGCAGCCGCTTCTGTGGCTTGTTGTGGCTTGTGTTGAATCGCATGGGCTTCCGTATGCTGTCGGCCCTTCAGGAAGAACAACCCGGATCAGATGCAGGCAAGAAACGTGAAGGGCTGCACAGCAGACCGAACCACGAACTCCTGGGGCGCCCCAGGTTTTGCTGGCCCTGTGGAGGGTACCGGCGCTTACACTGGCACTGTTAGGAGCTTTGGCCCAAAGGGCTACGGTTTCATTATCATGGAGGATGGCACCGATATGTTCTTCAATGTCAAGGATTGCGTCGGCAGCAAGCCGGTTCAGGGAGACAAGGTGAAGTTTGACATCGGAGAGAGTTCTATAAAACCAGGTCAGAAGCAGGCTCAGAACGTCACAGGTGGAAGCCAGCCTCTCGACATGCCATTTGGCGGATATGGCCCTATGATGGGAGGTTGGGGCCCAGATTGGGGTGGTGGCAAGGGCTGGAAGGGTGGTTGGGGCGGTGGCTGCGGTGGCTGGGATGGCGGCAAGGGCCAGGGGAAGTGGGGAGGAGGTGGAGGAGGCATGAAGGGTGGCCCAAAAGGTGGCCTCAAGGGCGGCATGATGATGGCAGGCGGCCCCTACGGCGGAAAGGGTTTTGGCGGGGGTGGCGGAGGCTATGGCAAGGGAATGTGGTAGGATTTTATCGCCCCGACCTCAATGCCCATCGAAGCCAAATCATCCAGGAGAGGCACAGATGCGGCTATTGCACAGCCGAAAAGAGTGCTGGCGGTGAAGCAGCTCCACATTCTAGCCGCTGTTCGTACATGTTCTATTTGCACGGCAGGGGTATGAAGCCGATACGATTGCTTGCCGCTCTCAAGCCTCAGATTGGTTCTAGGTTCTTGCATTCTTCTTGCAAGATGGTGTTGAGCCTTGCCCTTCTTTGCCCCTCAGGTAACTATGTAGCCAAATTGCTGGAGCCATGGCATGGTAGCAGCTGCCACTGCCTTTGCTGCGCTCAGACTTCCTGGCATGGCCAGTTTGCGGCTCCATGAATGCAGAGTGAAGTAATTATTCTAATTCAGGGCAATGAAGCTCGTACCCGCTTAATTAGCGGCAAAGTCATTCCTCAGTGGCCGACTTCAGACAAGCGAGCCCGCACAGCCACGGTCAGGGGGCTTTGCTGTCTGGTCCTTGGCCTCGTAGGGCGGCCCTGTCCAAAGACAGACTGCCGCAAAACGACCGCGCAGACGCAGATGGAGTCCTGTGCATTGTTTGGTGAGCTTCCGGGAGGGCAGAGCGCGTGCAAAAGGATGCTTCAGACAATCAGACAGGGGTTTGGGACCGGGATTGAAGTGTTTGCTAGCCATCAGAGAGTCATCAGAGAGTCAGAAACATGCCTCAAAGCCCAAAGAATTGTTTACCTACTAGCAGGCATTTGGCCTCAAGTGAACTTGGAAGGACCCCAGCCCTAGCTCTAGCCTAGCCATGATGATGGATGCAGCAGCTCTGCCGGAAGGGACGGGCTCATGCACGCAGTTCAACCTCTTGAAGGCAGGCTGTCGGTTGGAGAGGTCTTGTCATTTCGTATCTCTTTGCTTCCCAGCAAGACTTAGTTCATCAGCCACGCATTGTCAGGGATTTGGCTTCATCGACATGGGCGGCGTCACCGTTTTTGTTCACAACTCCGACTGCGAACCCGGCAAGCAGCCCAAAGAAGGCGACGTTCTGACCTTCAACTATGAGCCCAGGACTCTGCACGGTTTTGCTTGCATTCCTTTGCTGTCCCACCTTTCTGACCATGCCCGCAGGAGAAACAATCCAGAGCAGATGCAGGCCAGGAACGTGAAGGGCTGCTCTGCAGCAAGAACGGATGCCTGGGGCCAGCCCGCCTTCCAAGGGCCGGTAGAAGGTACAGGCGCATACTCCGGAAGCGTGAAAAACTTCGGCTCGAAGGGCTATGGCTTCATTGTCATGGAAGATGGCGCGGAGATGTTCTTCAATATCAAGGATTGTGTTGGCAGCAAGCCCCAGGCAGGAGATACTGTGAAGTTCGACATCGAGGAGAGCCCCATCAAACCTGGCAGCAAGCAGGCACCAGCTTGTGTGTTTCAGTAACCGTCCCGACGTACTCTATCATACCTGATTTGATGCGTTTGTTCCGGAAGTTACCTGGACATTAAATCACAGGCCACTAGAAGCCTTGGCAGAAACGCTGCATAGCGGTTGCCTGTATTTGAGTTGCGTTCTGCGGCAGCCTCAGCTTCTTTGGAGTCTTGCTATCGTGCATGACTGGCAGGCCAAGAATGTCACCGGAGGAAGCCAGCCTCTGGACCCTCCAATGGGCATGAAGGGTGGATGGGGCCCCATGTGGGATGGAGGCAAGGGCTGGGGCGGCGCGTGGGGATGGAACGGAGGCTGGGACGGCGGCAAGGGTATGTGGGGAGGTGGCAAAGGTGGCTTGAAGGGTGGTATGATGGCCGCTGGACCATATGGAAAGGGTGGCGGAAAGGGCATGTGGTAGATTGCCCTGCTCATTGCGGACTTGCGGGCGGCAAGTCGACAAACAATTCTGCCACCGTGCAGCGAGCACGCAGGCAATGGAGTGAGTATATAGACGGTTGAGTGGGAGACCTTCTGTAGCTTGGCGGCTGCTGTTTGGTTCTCTGGCTTCCAACTTGCGCTGGTCTGTTCCTCTATGGCCCATTTCCAGTGTATCAACTGAGCCTGTGGCAGCTGTAGCAGTTTTGATGTGTCTTGGTGTGGCCGCCCTATACTGAAATGCCTTTGCAGATCCTCTAGCGAGGGTCTATAGTCAAGCTACGTATTCTGCGCTCAATGTCTCACATACGATGGCTCAGTAGCGCGGGAATCAGATGAATCTTGCATGTGATAGTGCATTGCATGATATGATGCCGTGCGCACAGCAGAGTTTGGGATTCTATGGGAGGACATTGCACTAAAGCACGTGATGAGGGCTGGTTCTCGTGGCAGAGCCACCGCAGCATGCTCGAAAGCTTTTGCAGCAAAACCTGGGCCACAGCATTCTGCTTGCATGCGGTAGCTCGGGCAGTGCCTAAAGCTGGACTTCGATCCTCAGTCTTACAGTGTTTCTACAAGCAGCTGAGATGCGCTGGTGCTTGCTCACCCTGTCGACGTGCAAGTGCTGCTAAGCCCGGAGCGGGCAGCCGAGTCCAATGCGGGGCAGACTCAGGCACTCAATCCGGGTGCCAGTTCATGTGAGGCTGCACCTGCACAGCCTCGAAGCATCACCACAGCGGCAGGAAGCCTTCATTGAACAGGTGCATCGCATTCACACAAAGTTGACTTAGCACTATAGCGAGAAAGATGCAGAGAGGGCGCTTTCTGCAGGCTGTGCAAGATGCCGAACGTGGCTGGTGGCGTCCTTGGCCTTGCAGCACATGCCAATACATGCCAATGTGGGCCCAACAGGGCTTGGCCTTTCGGTCCTGAAACGCTAAATGCTGCGCTGAGTCCGCCGGAGCAGAGTGAGCCGAGCGAACCTGGCCTGCCCGGTCCTCTTGATCCTATGTGAGAAGATGAGGCAAGTGGACACTGAGGCTGGACCCGTACGGCCTGGCAGTCTGGCCTTCTGCTCTCGTCCCTGAGCACGAAGCATCGGTTTCTATGTCCTGAAATCCGAAGACAGCTCAGTTGATGGCATGCTCTTGTCCTCAGGTCCTCGCGCAGGCGGTGGCAAGCTATGCCAGTCACGCAGCCTCAAAGGGCTGGAGACTTCTGGAGCTTTGAGCACTGTGCTGAGCTGAATGGGACTGCCCATGCAGTTGCAGCTTGCCTGTGGAGGAGCTGGGTGCCGGTTGTGGGGTGGTCTCACTGGCTGCAATTTCCTCAGCCTCCGAGCTATCCTCAGTCTGCAGCTCTGGCTTGATGCGTTGTTTTAAGGCTGCGCAGGTGGGCTTCAAGGTCCTTGCTACCGATTTCAGATCATCACCTTTGCGCCTGCTATCTGCATCTGCGCGGCAGCAGGTAGGTTGTCAGTGGCTCTCGGGGGAGTAACGCAGAGTGTAAATACGCAAAGTGCCCCTGGCAGGGACTGGGCTCACGGGTTGGCATGCAGCTGCTGGACATCTGCGACCTGGCAACTCCCCTTCCGCCGGCAAACCTGGTCGTTGCTGCGGATGTACCTGGCCCAGGGCCAGCGATGGGAGTCCGCTTCGATGGGTTGCCCATTCTGAGATATCCTGAGGGAGCGATTTGCTGGAATAGAGCTTCTGCTCCGTGGTCCGGGAGGTCCTGTATGATGCCAAGACCGCGGAGGCCATGGCGAACCGTGTAGCAGAAGCTTATCTGCGAGGAAGTGTGGGGCTCCAAGTGTTGAACTTGCATTTTGCTGGGCATGTCACCGTGGTTTTGCAGCTGCGGTCCATGTTAGGGATTACTTCAGGCATGCTTCCTGGGTCCTGTGGTTGCTGCATGCTTCAATCATGCATCAGCTGCATGTTGAATCCCACTTTTGCATGGTGGAGAAGCGTCACAGTCGCATGCTTGGACTTCAAGGTCGTCTTGTTGGCGGATGTGGGCCGTCCCAATCGTGATGGTCTCAGATTCCCGAAGGTGCTCCACGAACGTGCACTATGTGCTTGAGATATCCTGCAAGGCAGCAGGTTTCTGAGCCGACTGCGCCAAATACTGCCAAGCTTGGCCAAGCAGCTACCAGGCAAAACTGTTCAACGAGATTCAAAGCTTTACCAGAAGCCTCCTCCGTGCCAAGTTTGCCACAGCAGGCTTTGACTTTCCTGTCTCGGGCTTGGCGGTGCAAGAGACAGCCACGAACTCAAGAAACTGTCGGCTTGCAGCTCTTGAAGCTGAGCATCTGAGCTGGCGCCAAGTCGCGAGGCTGGTCCAAACGTGGAGCGTCGCGCTGTGCCGGTTCAGCTGCTGGAGACAGTAGCAGTAGCTGTGTTTGAGCGCAAGATGCGGCGGAAATCAACCTCATGTCCATTCAGTGCTGCTCGCGTACCATGCCCCAGATGTGTACTAGCTGCAGCCTTGTAGCCCTGAAGTTCTCAAGGGATTAGTGCTGTGCGGTGCGATTTGGCAGGAGATACCTTTTGATGGACTTGCCTCCCAAAAGGCCCGTACCTGGCAGAGTCCGATCTAGAAATTGCTGCGAGCCGTTAGGGTGAAAGCGCAATCTCATCTCCTTGGAATAGCAGGGTGGCCACAGGATACTTGAAGTAGCATGTGGGCGAACAGCTCGGTCATCTTGCGCACAGGTTTCTGCTGGATCCCCTGTGCGGGGCGCAGTCGAAAACTTTAGCTATAGCTCTAGCTGTTAACAAGCAGCCATTGTCGCAAGACAACGTAGTTTGCCAAGGCCAGATGCATACGGCCTCAGTCCGTCGGCGCAGCCTCCATTGCACAGCGCTCATCCAGAGACTTGCTGTTCCTTATTTCGCAGGTGTTGCGTAGATGCCGCTGCCATGTCAGGTAGAAAGCACATGCTGGGCGAACCGCGCAGAATCGCAAAAAAAGGTGAGAGTTTGATGTGATAGGGCAGGCCATAAGGTCTCGTGAGCATGGTGGCACTTGGTGGCAGACCTCAAAGCTCTGCTGCTCCTTTTCCGCTGCTCAGCGTATGTTGCGGGGCTTGCAAAGACCACTTCCTCGCTCTTGTAACAAAGCTCAGCAGGTGGCTTCCAAGGCATTTTTCCGCACTGGTACCGCTACAGCTTGTTGTTGGAGGTCCTAATGGCTCCAAAGAAGAGCGCGAAGCGCGTGATCCAAGTGCCTGAAGAGGACACGGATGGATATTGGCATGTTATGGCCCTGTGTGAACTTGTCAAGCAGGAGGAGCCGCCCGCAAAAAAGTTGCAGACATCGCTCAAAAGGCAACTCGTGCACTGATTGCGTTCATTCCGTTAAGCCGTGCCGAGTCTTTGCGGAGGCATGGTGTGAAGGAGCTTGCATATCGTCAAGTCGCAGACGCTAGCGCCTTACACCTCTGAGGTTTTTAATGCAGCCACGGTGCCGTTTGAGAAGTCACTGTGCCGGGACGAGGGCACCCTTGGTTTTGACTTTGAAAGCGGGCAAGAATCTGTAAGATTGAAAGCCTTGCTATGCCTTTGGACTTTTTGAGGATATGCAGATCAAGGGCGCTCAAGTTTAGCTAGTGCAGTCATTTAAGACATCAATTCACTCGACTTCAATTTCTGATTTGGTGCCAAGAGTAATTTCTAGCTTAACGGCTGAGGCGATTGCCTCAAGACCCATTTTTCAGAAGTCTGAGGGGTGTAGCGGTTTTGGAGACCGGTCTTGCAAACATCGCGTTAGACTACAGGACGAAGACCATTTTCTGGAAATGCGACCTTGTTCAGCAGTGCTTTCCAAAACAGTGCCAATGCTGCCGATGTGGTCCAAAAGCGATGTGACTGCGAGGCAATTAGCTGTGTGAGGAAGGAGGAGGTATGAGGTATCATTCAAACCAAATGCAGCGCATGCCCAGCTTAAAAGTCAGGGGGCTTCGGATTAGGTGCCGCAACTTGCTTGAGGTCTTCTCGCATCCAGCGGCTGCACATCTATCTCAGGCTTGGAAATGTGGGGCATGCCAGTTGTTTCCTTTGTGGTTTGATGCTGAGTGGAGGATTGCAAGGACATGTTCCTGGCTGCGCTACCCTTCAGCTCCTTTGACACAGTATAGCTCAGTACAGTCAGCATAGAAGCCAGCATTGGGGATGACTATTTCTGCTCAGCAGCCTGCATGACCCTTGTTGGCACACCTGCTATCCGCCTGATCGTGTGTGCTAAAGGTCTGGTCACCGCCTCCGATGAAAGGAATGAATTCCAAGCTTCGCTCGTGTGCTTGGCAGACAAGGTGCGGGGTGTGGGCCTCACGGTGTATGGAAGGCATCCTTACGATCCTGGATGTGCATCCTAATTCCAGTCAAGATCAAAAAGAGGGTGCGCTGCTATACTCAGGCCCAAAACCTAGGTTCAAGAGATCTCAGCAGTGAGTAGCGGCAAACATGTCGGACGACTTTGCTGTGGTGCGGTCCATCATAGAGGACAAGCTGCACCAGGAGTTCTACAACGTGCCGACGAAGGATCTCCCACCCCGAATGCAGCCGCGGCAGCTGCCGAACCTTCAGGATGCCATGAAGATCGATTGGGATGACTGGAAGAGCTGGGAGTGGATGCAGCCTGGTTGGAAGGGCGTCAAGATGCATTCCCAGTGTGTCATCAACGCAGATGGTTCCGCAGAGATCCGTAGCGTTTGGAAGTGATTTAGGGCTTAGAGACGTCTGAGACGACAGAGCGCACACTCTTCCGAAACAAAGTTGCTCTGCTCGCGTGGCGTGAGTCCTGTGGCCGAACAAGAACGTATTCAGCAAAATGTCCGTCTTTACAAGCGGCAGGTGATTATGGGAGTGCTGGCCGGCATGCAGGCCGGAAAAGCTGTGTTCTGCTTGCCATGGTACCTGGGGGGAATCGCAAAGGAACTTGGTGCAAGAGTTTCTTTCGAATGGCAGTCATTAAGGAAATCAGTACATACACGAAAAATCTTAATGGGTGCTAGGAGTCCTTGGACGGGGCGGAAGAGAAGCTCAAGGCAGCTGATGCCGAGAAGGCCTGGAAGTGGCTAAGATTGCGCGTTGTGGAAGATTGTTGGGAATGGCAGGTGCAGCTGGACAAGGCATTGGAGACCGCAGAGGAGGAGCTCAAGTCAGCCAAGGCACCTGCAAGCGCCCTTAAAATCTCCGAGAACTTCACAGTTCAATGAGGCTTGCACCGCTGAGAAATCGGCAGCGCTTGCTGCTGCTACCACTGCCATGACAGCTGCGAAGGCACAGACGCGTTCAAGGCAAGGTTCCACCTCGCTTTTTCGAGCTGTCAGGCAAAGCTGCATGCAGCAAAGGAAGCCCAGGCAGGGCTCCCAAGCAGCTGCTGCAGCCATTTTCTTGTGCACGAAGCATCTCAAAGCATCAGCTTGCCCAGGCAGCTCAGCGGCTTACCGCTGCAGCTGCCTCGGCGGAGAAGGTGCCGTGAAATGAGGTCTTAGAGTGCGCTTGGCGATGAATGTCCCGGGAGTTTTTCTGCAGGCCCAGCTCCAAGACGCGGTGAGCGGCTCCGGGTGCTTCGGAAGGACACTGCACCTGAAGCGCAGCACCTGAAGCAGACACCTTGGAATAGCAGGCTCAAGGCTGGGGACTTCTCAGATAGTGGCGACTTGGCAGCAATTGGGTGCTTGATTACGATTGGCTTGCCACCATCTTTTGTGTCCAGCCTTCAGGAGGCCCGAACAAGCCTGCTGGGCCTCTGATTTGTGATTATTAACAGCGCTTACATTTCACAGCTCTATAGCCCCTTCAAAATTTGAATTCATGCTTTCTGCGGTGTAGATACTCTTGTGACATTTATGGGGCCAGAAAGAAGACACTTTTCCTGCATGACTTCAGTTTCACGCTGCCACTGCGTGTATACCGGACCAGCAGCGGCATTGTTAGGATTTCCTTCAGCAGGTGAAGCAGGGCGGCTTTTCAGTTCGCTGGAGCCTCTGGTCCTGGAGGCCAGGGCAGGAGTCTGAAAACTGGAAGGTGGAATACGAGGACTCCTTCCTTCGACTAGTGACTTAGAGGCTTCCAGGTCAAAGGCGCTCGCTTTTGGCATGACAGCTGTGACGAGATGAAGTCTTCACATGGCCCAAGAATTTCACACTGCTGACTCACCCTTGCTGTCACTTGTCCAGAAGCTCAAGACGGATTCATCCTTGAAGACGGCGATGCGATGCTCTCTACTAAAGACACTTGGCAGCCTGAAGCCATGGACCAGAAGTTCTTCTCAAGGATTAGATAGCGGTTTGACCACAGAAATCGTACTCAGAATGCCGTGTTCATGATGCAACGGAGGGAGGAGGGGCCTGGGACCCTATCATGGTCATAGTCATTAAAGTACTACACGTTCCAAAGTTTAAGCTGAATTTATGCATACTGCCGTTGCCAGCCTACTTGCATGAAGTGTGCCACCAAAACTGTGGCTACAAGTTGGGCTGCTATTTATCGACGCTAGCTTTCGTGGATTGCGGCCTCTTAGCACTAGTGTCTCTGTCAGTATTTGCTTCTTTTTGTTCTGTCTCATTCTAGTTCCAAACTGTCGCAGTGAGAACTTGTCAGGCAAATAGCTTTTTGGTGCATGGGGTCCATAAATCGGGGGCCACAATACATTGTGACCGTTATTATTATGGCAACTCCAAAGCAAAGCCCGTAAACGGTTGGAAAGCCCCATATGGCATATGGCATATGGTTGTCCGCTTCTCTGCCTGCTGGCTTGTTATGATTGCTGCAACTTTGCATCTAGTTTTGAATGCTACTGCCGTCACTATCGTGTTCACATAGTTCTCGTGACGTACTGTTCATATCGTCAGCATGGATATTGTCGGTCATAGTTTTGCTGTGAGAACTCAACGCTTCTAACTGTTGCAAACAGAAGGTAAACAGTGGTAAGGAAGGAAAAGTGATAGAAGCCGATCGAACAAGCAGGGGGAAAGCTGCCAAACGCGCACGGAAGATAAACAAATGAGATAGTATGACATTTGTGGGAAGTTGCAAAAAATCATGAGCAGTTTTCAGAAGCAATGGCAACTTGTTGCAACATGAAACATTGTGCGAGTGGAATGTCGTGGAAAATGATGGAAGGCATTGAACATCAATGGAACAGGAGGAAACTGATCCTAGCTGCAGGTAACATTGTCAGAATTTCCTGGGGTTCGCCGAACCTTCGCGGGGTTTGCAGAGTCCTCTGGACTGTCGGGTTAAATTTGGGGAATGCGACACGTGTTGGACTGTTCCTTGCAGACGATCACTAGTCCTAAGCTGTCGGCTGACTTGATTTGCTTTCGGGTTCCTGTGCCCAAATTGTGGAGGTCATTCCCAATTGCTATATGTGACTGGCATCTGTCTGGGCCGCATTAGATTTGCTCGGAATTTGGAACTTAGGTTTCTCAAGAGCAGGTTGAAACTACGAAGAGTGAATCGCTCGCGGCCAGTGAGCTGTCTTTCGCCTGTGTTTTTGCTCCCCATGCTCTCTGCAAGAAGCCTCCTGTTCTTGATGAAGTACCTCATATCGACCAGGCTTAAGAAATTTCTCTGATTGTTATACATGTTTCTGGAAACCCTAGGCAAAACAAAGCCAAGGTGGAATGGTGCACAAGCAACACAGCTCACCAGAGCTAGAGACACAAAGACGGTGAGGCAGATGCGAGGTATTCCCACAAAACCGCGACGGAAAGATATACTGAGCATGTGGGGAAAACGCGCTCGCAGCTCACTATGTCATTTTTATGGACATGTACCCAGATCAACCAATGTCTGAACAACGCACAGGTTTCAGCACTACAGCGCTGACTAGGGTGGCTTCCTGCTACCAGTTTTCCTCTTCGGCAGCGGCTCCCAATTCTAAAACAGTATGGAATGCCGTGCTTAGTGGCGACCGCAGAATGCAGAGGGGACTCTGTGCAGCGCATGTTCTCAGCAACTGCAAGCAAACCACAACATTTGCTTTTTGTAACCTGTGAAGCTATACTTCGTCAGGAGAACCGGTTTTGATCTCGAGAGCATGGTTGTTTTATCCGGGCCCCTTTTTTCAGCTTTGGGTTCCCGTAGGCAAGGTCGTTTCTGTGATCGAACAGATTCACACTTGGTGGCGGGGATCCAAAATGGTAGATTGTCAGAAGTGCTTGAAGTCGGAGTGTTGTGCCTGGTTTGGCGTACCTTTCTGATTCAACCTTGTGAAGTGCTGGCCATCCACTGCTCTTACAAGGAAGCCCGAGAGCCGCGGGCAGTTTGATGGCATGTTACTCGAGGACACAAGCAGAGCTTGCGATTTTGAGTCAAAGTAGCTGCAGCTGTTGGGAGCTGTTGTAAAGACTTTTCCATGGTTATGCCGGCACACTTGGCATTTTGCTTGAGGTCGAAAATGCCGAATGTCGCGGTAACACATCAAAAAAATCAAATATGTCAGATCTGCACTTCATAGCAATGTGAACGCTCACCACCGCACCAAGAGAGCTTGCGTGTAGCAGCCCTGCAGGAGCTTGCGAAGAACTTTGAAGAGCGCATCTCGACGCTCGAGACAGATCTTGGCGCGGCGGATGCTGTGGCCGCGGAGCTTGCAGAGGGTGTAGCTGCGGCCGAAGCTGCCTTGCAGACGGCCACGGCTGTTCAGAAAGAGGTGTGCTCAGTGTGCTCACGGAGGGACTGCCGCTTTCCATGTTGCTCCGCCAACACAGCAGGCGACTTCCATGCTATCCACCTCGTCAGCGGCCGAGAAGCTGCCCGCTGCTTCCGTGCAGGCTGCCAAGGCTGCGCTGCTAGACACTTGGTGTGGATTCCACCGGTAGCTCCTGGGAAAGGGCAGGTGACAGGCTGTACCGTCTCCCGGTTGTCGTTGTAAAAACTGAGCATATGGGCAGCCTGCAAGAGCATCAGCATGGAGTCAACTCAGGATTTCAAGCCGAAGCACCTGCAGGCATATCCGTTCAGATCCCTGCACGCACCTGCAAACGCAGCCTGCCGCAACTTAGCTCATCTGATCGCAGGCACGGGGCAGAAGCAGTGCTGAACGGCAGCAGCTGCAGAGCTTCGTAGACACGAATATGGCTGCGTTTGCAAGTCTAAAGGCAAGCTTCGCCCACAATCAGAATGAGACAAAGGTAGACTCTGGCTGCACGCTGTCTTGGCCTGTTGCAGGATAGGGTTTCTGCCAAGAAGGCAAAGGAGTTGGCCGCCAAAGCCGGCCAAGAAGAGCTTCCCCCGGCTACAGAAGTCAACCTTCAGGCTTCGTCACAAGTTGCTGTGATTGAAGTTGTGCACGCGCCCATGCAGCATGGGGCTTGGCGCAGGCGTCCGCCCGTGAAGATGCGAAGTTGGTTGATGATGCTGAGGCAGACGAACAGTAGCTCTGACTTCCAAGGTTACCTTGGGTCACATGGCCTCCTGCTGTGCAGGCCATTGCAGCGTCAATGCTGGAGGGCTCCATTGCTGGGCCTGAGGCTGCTACTGTAGGGCTTTGTCATGAAGTTGCCTGGTGCGTCACAGTATTGCATGAGGTGGGTGGTGCCTGAAGGAGGCCAATGCTTGGAGATCTGAAAGCATATCTTGGCCTGTGGGAAAGCCGCAAGCTTTTTGCACTCGACCTCTTTCAGAGCTCATGGACTGGACAGTTACAGGGTTTTTCAGGCATGGGGATTAGAACTCTGAAGGGGCGAGAGATGGGGAGAGATTGCCCACTTGAGTTACTTGAAGAAGTCATGGGCACGCAATGAGCTGGCCTCCAGGCAAGACAATATCACAATGTTGAGGTGCAAGTGATGTTGCTGCTTTCTCTCTCAAGTGTGTGGTGCTGACCAGATGGCTCCTTGCACAAGGAGCCATGATGGTCCTGCAAGCTGGGAATTTGCTGCCTTGGCAGCAGCACCTTCCAGTCATCTCGGGGTACAAGACAGAAAAATGCCTTACTTGCATGAGCCGGCGGCATGCGGTGTGAAGGTGCACATGGCCAGTGAATCATTCAACTCGCAGCAGTTTGTGCTCGAGGCTGCGGGGAATTGCCATAAGCAGAGATGTGCTAGCCCTTGAGCACATACTTACATATGCACTGTTCCCGCCACCGCAAGCTGGGATTTGTGTTTCTCTGCACAAGATGCGCAGCTTAACTGGGGTCTTGAATTCACTGCAAGCTGCCAAAGATGTCGTCCGCTGGCGAGCATGGTGCCTCGACCACTGGATTTGCAGCCCAAACAATCAGAAGCAGTCACCGCAGAGCAGGGTAAAGAAGACCAGAACTCAGCGGAGGGTTGCCTGTGGCCTTGAACTTGTCACAAACTCAAAATATCTGCTGTCGCAATGCAAGGAGACCTTCACTGACTTCTCTGCTCTGCAGGAGGTGAGATGTTCACTTCGATGCTTGCCTCAGTCATGTGAAAGACCATCGGCTGAACTGCCTGCGCGCAGGAGGATACCTTGCTCCACGAAAATGGGTCTTCAGCAGTGCGTGTCTGTGTAAGAGGACGGAAAGCACCACAGATGTCGCATTTCCGAATTTTCCTGCAAGAGGCTAACAGCTAACAGCTTCTGACGCAGGTGTACTAGGTGATGATTAGGGGAAGATCCTAGAACTGTAAACTACGCAAAGTCACTGACACCCGGACCACATCCACGCAACCACTCCTGCGTGAGGCACCGCAGAGCCAGTCCTGACGAGCTCTCTTGACGGCACGAAGACGGTGGAAACGTTGAAGCGTGAGGCGCGGACGAACCTAAAAACCCAACCGATTTGTCTCGCAACTTCTTTTTCCCTCCGTTCCACTGCAAGATAAGTTGCTTGAGCTGCCTTTTGATGTTAAGGCTTCTTTCCGTTTCTCCGTTTCTCCTGTGACAGGTCGAGGCGGCTACTGGTTGGCCAGGCCAGGGGCTCTCAGCAAGGTCAAGCTGGAGTCAAGCCAACAGCTGCCTAAGTGCGGAAGGGCAAAGGCTAGCGACTTGCATTCCTTGCGCAACGCGCAGACATTGGGAATCCATCCTTGACCAACTGCGCTTACCTGCAGCTCACACGCGACAAAACGCTTCATGCCATTGAGGTTCTGAGAAGCATGTGGCCGCACCAGTGCAAGCTGCACACCTGCTCAACTGCCGGTCACAATGGTCACAGCTTTTGGTAAATCTTCGCTCGTGTCAGAACCAGTATAGCAAGTCCACATGTCAGGTGACAGGTTATGCAACAGACTGACAACTGTGTTTCTCGTCATTTTTCGAGCATGAGCACTGAAGCACCTCACGCTTAAGGACAACGTTTCCTTGAGCTTGGTCGTTCTTAGCACCTGGCGCCAAGTGTGCAGTCCGCCTTCAAATAAACCTGCGACGAGCACCAATCATAAAGACCAGTGTGTTCCACAACAATGCTTGCAGCTGCCCACGTGTCGCGCAGGTCCATACTCTTGCACTATCAAAACCCCATTCAGAAACTTGGGTGGTCGTCAAAGAGAACACATCCAGCATGCCCAGAGCATTGTAAATGCAATTCTGCGAGATCTGCGAGCGTGTTTGTGTCTTTGCGCCTGGCATGCAACACGTCTCTGTTCAAACCAGTTCCAGGCCAACTCTGAAGCCCTTCCAACACTCCAAATTCACGTGTATTGCCTCAGCAGCTGCATAGGTGTTCTTGACTGGTACTTGCCCTGACTAATTCATCAGTGGCATTCTGGTAAAAAATGTAAGTCTCACACCCAGAAATCCCAATCAAAACCTTGCAGCACTTGTGAGGTGTGCAGCAGCTTTGTCAAACCACGTTTGCCTTCACAACTTGCTGTTGCCATGAACAGTTCATGTTTGGTTGTTGGTAGTCGTTCTGAGGATTGGAGCGCTTGCTGCATGTGTCTAAGCTGGAACCATGATGTCCGTGTAGCGTGAGTCAATCGATCGTCATGGGACAAGCCCTGCCGAATTGAACAAGTCGTTCCTCAAAATTTCTAGTCTAGGCCTTGGCATGCTTCCACCCTAAGCATAACCTATTGATATGCCTCGTTGCTAGGGCAGGCCGGGGGTTGGGGTATGACACGTTAGGATCTTAACAGCACTGCTGTCAAATCCGATCTTCCAGCGTGATGGATTAAATGAGGTGGGCGGGAACAGATGTTGGCAAGAGACTTATCCAAGGCTGTCCAAGAGCCTCTTTCCTAATCACGCCTGGGCAAGCATGGCTCGAGGAGGTCTAAGTTGGCAACGCGAAATCCGCTTGTTTAGAACATCCATGGAACTCGATGGTAGACTTGGCGTCAAGGAAGGGCCTTTTGTCCAATGGTGGGCGGTCATCTCGGCGATCAGAACCGTAGAAAGTAACTGGCCCCTCCCCAGAGCATGGCAGCCAACCTTGGGTTCAGCCTACACACAGGATGGCTAGACGGGAAATGCAGGCAACCAGCAGCTGCTGACTTCCAATGGTCTGCCACTGACGGGAAGCCAAGACGCTTGTCCGCTGATGCTAAATGTCCACAAAAGTTGTTGACAGTTAACATGTTACCAGACAGTATGGGACACCTTGGAGCACCATGGACCATGGCCACGCTCCTCCTCCTCCTCCTCAGGTAGTGCTCGGGTGTTTGAGCACCTTTGAGCTGACCGCCCGTCGGACTGACGAGTCTTGGGTTCAAGAAATCGAGGACATGTTCAGTGCCGCCTTCATCAGCATGCATCAGCATGTAGCCTACATGGGCACTTGGCTTGCAGGAGCTTGGCCGAACGACGAGTGGGAAGGAAGCTCGCCGGTCAGACTCGCTGGGTGAGATGCTTGAAAAGACGATTGAAGGCTGCCTCGAAGAATCTGAACTGTTGATCTTCGGCGTGAGGTTGAGCTGTGCAAGCATGAATGGTGGCCAGCGTTCCCATTTGTGCTCATGTTGGGAAGCTCTGCACAGCTTTTGGATGTGGACGCCCAAGGAAACAAAAGCTGGAAAAAGGAGCAGGTAACATGCGTCTTGGTTGAGGCAACTAGATCTCTTGCGGACTGCTTGCCGTTCATCGGGAGAATGGTCCGTGCTAAGGTGTAGGAAGTTCAAGAAAGCAATCAACATGGACCGGACCTTTGCGTTTCCATGTGTGACCAATCTAATGTATATGTGCAGACACGATGGGCTAAGTTGCTGACCAGCTCCGCCAATCTCGAAGCAGCGGCTGTTGATCTGAACCACAACCGCGAAGTGCTGTTCGAGGTGTGCAGACCTTGCTTCATGGCATTCCTGTTCTCTACGCACAAGTGATGTGGTTGAGCCTGGTGGTACAAAGCTTCAGCTTCGCGAAAAGCGGGCAGGAACATGCCTACCAATCATGTTTAACCAGGGCACGAATTCCACTACGAGTCCTGGGATGTGTTCTAAAGACCACACCCAAAGGCATGCATTTTTCCCACTTCCCACCTCACAGCCACCACGCTCCATCATGTGCAATTTGCATTCTCATTATGTTTCCAAATTCATCCACTCCACCTGTGTGAGTGCGGGCATCACTCCACAGAATGAGTTCAGTGGATGAGTTCGCGCATTCTTTCCCATAACCAAGCTTGAAATCCAATGCCTCTTTTAAATCTTCTTGGAATCGAAGGCTGGGAGGCCGTCCCATCAAAAATCCTTGAGTTTGTAGGCAGCCTCGCCTCCATCTGTTGTTTACGAGCTCTCGGCACAAAAAACAAAAACGCCTGGTTGTTTGTTGATACAAAAGCAGAACCATCCCAGACACGTGACCTTTAGCTGATAAGCGTGCCAGCCTCCATCAGGAAGCGTCCTTTGTCTCCTGCGGAATAGCTCATCCATTGCTATTTGGTATTGGAGCATACTGAATTGTTGCTCGACACCTTTTTCCCTTTCCATCTGTATGTAGCACGGTAGAAGGCAAAGAAGAGGATGTGCATCGCATCTGAGCTTCAATCTCAGGGTTTTGAAGTTTTGAAGTGCAACGACGTCAGCCTTGCCAAGTGCAGAAAACTTGCGGTAGAATGAATACATTGTAGAACACTTCAGAAGGACATGGTTGAAGCAAGGATTTCGAGGAAAGGGCTGCGTGGCATGGGTTGGAATGTCAGTGATGTGGGTGATCTTATAGACAGCATGTGCTTCGACTCTGACATGACCAATGCATGCAGCGGAGCCAGTGGGCGAGGCTGTACCGAGGAGCTCGAAGGCGTCAAGGCAAGCAGCAGAGGAAATTTGGCCCGTCAAGTCGCGCCATTTCACCGCAGGGTTCCCAAGCACGCATCCATCCTATATGTGCTACGCGAAGGAGATGATGCGCTGTCGGAACAGGCTACTATCTTCGACGCAGGCGAACGGCGAGGTGCTGGAAAAGTCCAGCCGCTGGGACCAATGGCTTCACATCCTACATGTTCGCTTGACATGGCAGAGCACCGACATGAAGCCCAGGAATGCTTCTAGGCCCATCCCACCATGAGCTTCAGGTGCGGAGGGAGTGACGGAGAGAAAGAACAAGAACAGCTTTGTCAATCAGGGTATGGCTGGGTTGGATTATGTTCGCAACTTCAGGTACAAACAGCTGAGCTTCACACAAGATTGCTGCAATCTCTGGAGTTCATGACCCGCCAGAGCGAGCTGCTTCATCTGCGCAGGATGGGCAAGTTCTGGGAAAGCAAGGTTTGGGCGGGCATTTCTGATGCAACGCCCTGAGCAGTGCAGAAGAGAACAGCCCCTGCGCAGGCAAAGAGGGTGGCTGTCCGCCAGGAAGGTGGACATGGACCTCAGAAAGTGGGAGGCCAGACACGATGGCCTGGCAGTCGACGTTTCTGTCGTGGAGCAAGTTGCGGGCGAGCCTGGAGTTGCAAGAGATGTGCTCAGACGTGGTCATACAAATGGAAGCAAGACGCATGACTCTTTCGTCTTTCGCACTCTCCATGCTGGTGCAAAGTATGGCAATAAGGACTTGCTTGTGAATCGGAAGGCCTACCGACAGGCGGTTGCGACGAGCCTCAGTGGATTTGAGTGATGCATGGCAGCTCACAACATGCTGGAGTTATCAGTCACGTGTTGGATAACCAGTGCAGCTGAGGAACTTGGGAGCTATCAAGCTTGCGAACGACTACCTCCAACAGGTGGAACATGTGTGGCAGTGCATCTGCGTCCGCTGATCAGCCAAGACAGTTGACTGCAATGCACAAGGATGAGGCAATTGTTCTCAATTGGGCCTTGACCCATGTCTCCAAGGCTGGACTGTTAATGCTGCAAAAAAAAAACTTGTCGCTAGCTGCGATGGCTTTGTGTGTGAGAGTACTGCGTGGCAGCTCCGATAACAAAATCAGGAGCGCACCTTGGACAGGGACTTCATGCTAAGTGTGGTGAGAACAAACGGAGAGGCAGGCTGGAGGGCAACAAGTTGTGCGTAAACTGCGGGGTCCAGCTGAACAGCCGAGAGCCGCAAAACGGATTGTCCACAGACAGGCATTAGAGGAGGCAGCCCCTGCACTGCGCGGGGACCGCGAAGTGGTGCTCTCGGCTGTGAAGAGTTCCAAGGGCTGGGCCTTGCAGCACCTTGCCTGACTTGAAATTCTAGGGCGCAACTTTGGCTACAACTTGCACCGCTATGAGATTCCAGAATACGTTGGATGTTTGGGGCCCCCCCCACGGGCATCATCTCTTGGCACTTGGGGTGGCCAGGAGCTCAGTAGTGGGATCCCTGTTCGTCTTGAGAACCAAACTTTTTATCAAGTAAGAACGAGGCTGTTATGTAAGCTTCCACGTGAAATCCCTGCACTTGAGCTGGAGGTTTTGTTTTCTCAATGTGTGTGTGTGTGTGTGTGTGTTTGTGTGTTTGTTTTTGCGGCTTCTGGGCCTTATTGGCTTCTTCGGCTTCTTTGCCTCTATTTTCGCTTGGTGTGCTGTATCCTTGTATATAACCTTGTACTTAGAAATTTGGCGTTGGCCGCTTTAGTGATGTGTCGGGTTGGTGGTTTCTCGGTTTTTGTGCTGGTCGGCTTCCTGAATTCCGGGCTGGCTTCTCAACATTGCTTTCCATCAACACTCTTCGGCATTATTCATGCTAAATCCCTAGCCTTGTTCTCAGTATCTCAATTGTGACGAATTACTTTGTACAACTTGAGTATTCTGACTAGGCGTCCCTTTGCCACCACGATTGTCATTGTTGGTACTGTTGCATCTTCCTTCTGTGTTATCGCGATTACGGATGATACGAACGGTATGTTCTATTGCTATTGCTCACATCGTCGGTCCATTCAGTATCGGAGTCAAGAATTTGAAAACTGAGGTTAATTGCTGACTTTCACCATGATTTTATTGACCACTGAAGCTAAGCCAAGTCAAGCAACCCAGACAAAAAGCCAAGCCAAACCACCTGACCCTGAAATTGTTGAGTCCTCAGTGCCTCGGGTGCCAGCTAATCTTGCGATGTGGTCTCATAGGCGTATGGCAAGGTTTGCAGCTGACTCTCTGAAACAAGACCGCGAAGTCGTTCTCACCGCGGTGCGGCGGAATGCGCTGGCTTTGGAGACGCTTTCCCGCAAAGATTCCGTTCCTCTTTGCATTTTGACTTTGAATCATGCTTTGACGGAACAGGTTTGCTTCCGCAGAGCTGCGATCGGACCGGCAGATTGTCTCTGTCGCAGTGTGTCTCTGACGGCAGGACAGCATGTTGAATCTCTGTGTCGGGTTGCAGTGAGATGTATGCATTTTGATTGCTTAGGCAAGTGCAAGGAGAAGCTTTGGAGTTCGCATCCGCAGACCTAAAGCCCTCCGCCTGCAAGCTTGCCAGTGTAAGTCTTGTCGGCCGCACTTGTCGGACATGAATCATGTGATTCGCTTGCCCTCAGGCAAGACCCTGCCAGGTTCTCAGTCAGTCGGCACTGTGGAGTCAGTTTTTGGGCGTGCTAGAAGTATAGAGATTTTTTCCCGAAAACCCCTCTGGGGTTGGATTCTCGTTTAGTTCACACACGCGAGGGCGCGATATCGGTGTGGTGCTTCCAGCTAAAGTAAAAAAAAGCCTAAATGCTGCGCGGGTGGTGGATATCGCCGGTCTCGATGCGTGGTGGGTGCGATTACTCGCGGGTGGGCTTCTCGCGGGTGGTGGATATCGCCAGTGGATAATGGTGAATACCTCTGCGGGTGAATTTGATATTGATATCCATTTATCACATGACTAAACGCTGCGCGCTCCGATTTCTCACGGGTGGCGGATATGTCGGGGGATATATGGTGGATGGGATTCTTCTGCGGATGGGATTTCTGCTGGCTATGTGGTGGGGGCTGCTGGACTACTGCAATCAAATCAAAGGGGGTGCGCGATATCGTCTGCGCAATTAAAGGGGGGGGGTGCGCGGTATCGTCTGGACCCTTGCAATAACGGGGGCTGCGCGATATCTTCTGCGCGGGGGGTGGTAGACCCTTGCAATCAAAGGGGGGGTGCGCGATATTGACTGCAAGGAGGGGTGCGCGATATCGTCTGCAAAGCGGGGTTGCTGGACCCCGATCAAAGAGGGCGTGCGCAATATCGTCTGCGCGGGAAGTTGCTGGATTACTGCAATCAAATCCAAGGGGGAGCTGCGCGATATCGTCTGCGCGGGGGAGTGCTAGACCCTTGCAATCAAAGGGGGGGTGCGCGATATTGTCTGCAAGGGGGGATCTTCTTCCTATTTGTGCGCAGGCTTCATCGGTGCCCTCAGGGCCCAAAGCAGCTGCCAATCTCGTCGTGAGCAGAAAAAAGTTGGCAACACACTGGGATTGAACTGGCACCTGGAGCTGTTGCCCGTTGCTGCTCCACCAGGTTCTTTTATCTCCCGGTTGGTTTCGGGTTCCCGGCGTGACCTTGACCCGACATGCAAGCCGATGCTGGTTCCCCTTAGTCCTTGATTTGAGGGACATGTCATTTCAACCCCATTTCGAGGCAAACTGCGAGATCCCATGGGGACCTCACCCATGATCCATTCCGGACATCCTCCAAATTCACACCGACGGTCGTTGTTCAGCCAAATCTTCACCGCCTTGCATCCGGTATGGTGTACATGTCTTGCGTCTGGTGGCACCCTGCTGGCCTTGCTCCTTTCAGTGTAGTCTGGGCTTTCATCAGAAGTATCTCGACTGCAATGGCCTTCGCTACTAACGTCTTGTAAAGATCGGGCTGTACCCACCCAACAACTATTATCACACCTGTATAAACTGGCAGTAGCAGAAAGCTACCCTTGAAACTTGAAATTGCACGTGGAGCGCTAGTGATCTGGAAGATGATGACAGCCGTGCAACCTCATGGTCAAGAACCGGGCAAAAAACAAAGAAGCAGTCTGCTTGTTTTCGCAAATGCGACGAAAGTGTTTCTGGCATTGAAAAAGGTCGAGTCTTGGACTAGGTGAACCAGTGCTGTAGATCGCTCGCACTTCGGGCGGGCCCATACAACTTTCGCGAGAGTCTAAAGCAAGCAGACCGGTGCATACAAAGGAAATTGTCGCAGCAGCCGTCAGGAGCAGCTTCTCAACTGCATTTTGTGGTAGGCCAGCTTGGCAGGCTGGAGTTGGCAAGATTGCAAGATACCATCATAGCCGTGGACCCCCTGTTCTGGCACATAGTGAAGGGCATCATTGCCAGCGTCAATTTTGCGAGAAATGCTGCAAGCGTGAGCAGCACCACTTCATGAGGTTGTGGTTGGGCCCTTCAGTACGCTTCTGAGGCAGCAGGGATGTTGAAAACCAAGGGCCAGGCAGCATAATCTCACTTTGCAGCCCCTTGAGCAGGACCTTCGGGCTTGCCAAGAAATCGTCTTGGCAGCCGTGGGAGCGAATGGCTTGGCTCTCGAATATGCAGCCCCCGCTCTGCGAGGCAGGTTGGGGCTGAAAAGCTTCTGATGTTCTATGGGACAATAATAGTAGTATTCCTAATAGTAGCAAAAGTAGGTGTACGGGCAACAAACAAGAATAGAAATCTTAAGGGCAGGAGGAATATTAATAATAATATGAGCAATAGTTCGCAATAATATGAACCTAGTCTGCTCGCAAGCAGGGGTTCCAAGAGCATGGCCAATTGCATTGCTATGCAAGTTCTGGCACAGTCTTCTGCGAGCAATTCTGGTGGTTTTGATGGGCTCCATCACCTGTTGATTATGTATGCTGCCGCGTTCTGACACTCCCGTAAGAGCATGCGATAAACGCTCCTACGCTGCAATATTGAGCTGGAGCTTTCCAGAACCTTGCGGTTCGTTCAGGCAACCTGTCCAACAGCCCAATGAAGGGGCCACTGTGACCCCTCAAAGTGGCCTCGCAGAAGAACAGCTGGTACCAGCTCGGCATTGTGTGTTGTGCGCATGTCCTAGAAAGAGAAATGCTTTGCGTGTGTGTTGATGTGTGGTTTTAAAAGCAAGCTGGTCCGGATCTTAACTAGCAGCAGATGAGCTAATATCCAATTTGCTTTTGTGAGCTGGGTGCATTGCTTAGCAGTTGAAGCAAGCCTTGGGAGAATCAGCAGGTGACAAACAAACGGTTCTCGCGGCCGTGGCCACAAACCCATTTGCGCTCCAGCCACCCGGCTGGCAACAGGTCCAGTGTGTTGATGCGTCTTGCATAGTTGAAGTCTGTTGCGAGAGCATGCAATGCATGCAAGACAGCCATTCGCAAGGAAGCGCCATGACGTCCGAGCCTTGCAGTACCTCTGTTCGATTGCCTGAGAATGAGGTTTGCCTCCGAGCAGCTGCGGGAAGACAGGGATGTCGTGGGTGCTGCGGTTGGGAAGGAGCCAAAGCGCATTGCAGAAGAACAGAGGAAGTGTTGCTCAATGTTGCTCACCACCCCTGTATCCGTATTTGTGTCAGAATGTATGTGAAGGGCAGTGGTGCGAGGGTGGCTCATTCGGAATGAGGATGGCTGTGCACTTCAATTTGCCGCCTTAGTTGCAAAGGCCTTGCCCATGTTTTAGATGCCAGAGCGATGACAAGTTCCAACTTTGCCAGCCTGCAGGCGGATCGGGCGGTTGTCCTGGCCGCCCGACTTGAACCCCAGCACGTTGAGAAGTTGAAATGCAGCAAGGCGGTGAGATCCCCACCCTGTCCTGTTAGAAGTCAGGCGGCGATGCGGCAAGCTGGAGTGTCGCTTGACCCAAACGGCTTTCCGGGGCAGCAGTGGGGAATTTGACCCATCCGTTCTGTGCACTGCTTGACTCAACCAATAATCGCACTGAGGCGTTGCCCCCCAAGTAGCATGCCTTGAAGCAAACTTGGAGACATGTTCAGACGAGGCATGTTCTCCTGATGGCCGATCAGAGTCTGCAGGAAGACCAGACCATCTTGCATGAGGCCTCAAGATGCAATTCAGCAAGACTAGTGACTACCCAGACCCTCGTATGCAGTTCCTTTTTGGGTAGCATATATGGTAGTATACTAGAATCCCTACCAGAAAAATAGCACATAACCCCAAAAAAAACTACGTAGGAGCCCTTAGGTAGTGAAAAGTACTTAGGGCAATGACTTGCTGCTTGTGCCTTCCCCTGAGGCACGGCAGCAACTGTGTCAGCAAGCAGGGCATTTGCGCAGCTTGCGTGATCCAAGTTCTTCAGTCTTCTTCTGGAGTTGGAACCTCGTAGCTTAGCCAAGGCAAGACACACCTGCAGGGCAGATGGCAAAGTCCAGCAGCTTGCCAGGCTGCGCGACACCCGACTCCACACGACACCATCTCAACGTATCCAGCTTGTCCGAAGGTGCTGAGATCTCTTGGTCTGACAGTGCCTTCATGGAGGTTGAGAAAACCCGATTGTGAGATGATCAGCAGCTAGCAGCCAGATGTTTCCCTGGCGTCTGGCCCAGTTAATGTCTAGTCTCCGAGATGCCTCGTGGACCAAAATCAAATCGCTTCTGTAGCCAAACCATCAACGTTGTAAGAGATGACTTGGCTGCTCAACCGAATGCAAATGGTTGCTTCACATGTCCGCATCTTTCAAATCAAGCAAGAAGAGGATGCTGAGGTAGGCCCGGCGTTAATGTCGGATTTTCACCTATCCGAGGGCAACCCACAAGATGCTAGTGGAGACCCCGGCGCCTTGGAGATGCCAGGCCTTGAAATGCCGGACATGCCGGACGTGCCGTCACACGAAGGTTGTGATGAAGGCTGTCTCGGGTGCAAGCCGAGGCGCAGCCGTCGGGGCAAAACTGGCAAAACGGTATTCCGGGAACTCCCAAGGACTCCAGATCACGACCTTCCCGTTATGTTAGGGAGCAGCACGCAGCATACCTCTGTCAAATCTCGCTTTAGCATCCGCAACATCTGCTGCGATTCAGAGGTGCGCCTAATTGAGCGAATTGTCTCGCCCTTACCTGGTGTGCAGACTGTCTCGGTGAACAGCTTCCAGAAGATTTGCATCGTGGAGCATTGCTCGCCATGTTGCACAACTTCTGAGACGATTCTTGGCAAGTTGAACAGCGCTGGCTTAGGTGCTGCCCTACTTGGACAGGGAGGTGATGAGATAGAGCCCCAAGAGCTGCAGTGCCACCAGTGGTGCCGCCGCCATGCTCGCCTTTTCGTGGTTTCTGCAGCTGCCTTGTGCATGCTTGTCAGTGGCGTTGCGGAAAGTGCTGGCTGGAGAGGAAGCCCATTTCAAATCGGAGCCATTTATATGGGGATGCCTTGCATCCTGTGGGACTCGTGCGCGGCGTTGAAGAAGATTCAATTAGATGTCGCAGTGCTAGTTTCCATAGCGGTTTTTGCAGCTGCATGGCATGGTGAATTTTTTGATGCAGCCTTGGTCGTGCTTCTGTTCAACTTGGCGAAAATCATTGAAGCGGTGGCCATCAGGCGTGTGGCAAGAGCGCTGCGTGCTGTCATGCAGCTACAGACTGTCCGGAGTGTCCAGCTCGCAGATGGGAGCAGCAAGCAGATAGCAGATTTGCAGCCTGGGGATGTACTTGCATTGCGACCTGGTGAACAGTGCCCTACGGATGGCCTTGTGGCAAGAGGGAATGCATCTTGCTCAGAGGCCGCGATGACAGGTGAGGCAACGCCTGTTGAAAAAAGCAAGGGCTCAGAGATCTCATCAGGAACTTTGGTCCTCAACGGCTACATTGAGCTCGAGGTGACGAAGCCCTCATCTGAGTCTCGGCTGTCGGAGATTGAATGCAGAGTGCAAGAGGCACAGGCCAAGCGCACGGACAAACAAATGATGATCAGCAGATTTGCTCGCTGGTGGACTCCTGCAGTCCTTGTCGCTGCATTCGGCACCGCTTTCGTGCCTGTCATCGCGGGCGGTGACATCGTTGAGTGGCGCCATCGAGCTGTCGTCCTTTTGCTTATCGCATGTCCCTGTGCCATCGTGATTGGTGCACCTTTGGCCACCACCTGTGCCATTGCAGCAGCGGCCGCAAATGGTGTTCTCATCAAACGGCCCGAGACCGTTGAACGTTTGCCAGCTGTGGCCACCGTTGGTTTGGATAAGACTGGCACTCTTACCAAGGGTGAAATGACCGTCCTCGACATTTGCGCCATGAAGGGCTGCACTTGGGAGGAGGCCGATGCTCTGAAGATGGCTGCTGCCGTGGAAATGAAGTCTGCGCACCCGATTGCCGCTGCCATTGTGTCGAGGGCCTTGGGCTGCGTCGCTGAGACACATGGTTCAGACTTGCCAGAGGTCAAGAAGCTGCGGAACTTGCCTGGTGTGGGGCTTCAAGCGCAGATATCCCTCAACAGTGGCCCAGCTCACAAAGTGCTCCTTGGGAACAGCAAGGCTTTGGATTTGGCGAGTGCCGACGCAGAATCGCGGGCGCAATTTTCCACTTTTCAACAAAGCCGCCAATACGATACGACTGTGGCCTTGATCATAAATGGCACTTTGCAGTTTGGCCTCGCTTTGAATGACACGCTGCGTCCAGAAGCTGCCCGATTGGTCGACAGTCTGAAGAGTTTGGGGTTGAAGCCGTACATGTTGACCGGCGATACAGAGTCTGCAGCTATGCACATTTCCGATTGTGTTGGCCTCCATGCAGGATTCTGTAGATTTTCCATGATGCCTGAGGACAAGACGGAGTGGGTTCGAAGTCAGCAAGCTGCAGGGAGAAAGACATTGATGCTTGGAGATGGTGTCAATGATGCCACAGCACTTGCTGAGGCTAGTGTGGGTGTTGCAATTGGCGAGACGGGTGCTGCTCTAGCAGCGCAGTCTGCAGATGTCGTTTTACTGACTGACAAGATGCACAGACTCTCGCAGTGCATCCGCATGTGCACGTATGCGGTGCGAATTGAGAAGCTGAGCATCATAGTACCATGCTTAGTCAAGCTGCTGCAAGCAATTGCTGCTTTGCAAGGCAGTCTTGACTTGTGGATGGCAGTTGTTGCTGATTTGGGCACACTGCTGTTGGTCTTAGTGCTTGGGATTTCCATTCTAACTCGTCAATTTTGGTCAGAGGATCACAGCAGATTTGACATCTCTGCCTGCAGCGGCAAAGCCGAAACGCGGCAGGGTTATGAAGAGTTTGTTTGACTCCTCACGGAGCCTGCCGCCGGTCCTGAAAGGAACGGCTGGCAGCCATAGTTACCATTGTAGTTGTTGAATTGAAATAGCGAACCGAATGCTGTGTAATTTTTTTTTTCATTTTCCATCGCTGAGCCGGTGCTTGCAAGCAACGGAAAAGATATGGCCACACCACGACTGTGATGCAAGACATGTAAGATCGTAATGTGTTGGCAGGTGCTCATACACGTGACTGCCTATGAACAGCCCATGTCGGCTCCAGTTCGCATGCCGAGAAGTCGGCGATTAGTTGTAGGACAACTTGGTCCTGTCAAGGGCGCAGGCCTGGCAGATTCTGTTTATCTGTACTTGGACCCCATGGGACTTCTTATGCATGTATTGAGTTTGGCAGGCATGGGTGTATATTGATCATTCAATGCTCCACGCAATCTGCCATTTGGGATCAAGCAATCTGAGATTGGCAGTTGAGCCAAAACGGTAGATTCAGCTTTTGCTTT